GAAGAAGTAGCGGTTAAATGTGGCCTAAACGGATGCGTACATCAGTATAAAAATTATAAAAGCTTGGCTACACATATTCGACGACACCACCCAGAATGGCTGGCCGATAACATTTTGCCACCCACATACGAAAAAGTCATTTGTACAGAACAAGAACGAAAGGTTTGCTCAATGATATTTCAATCACAACTTCAAATTGCACACACCATTTTGTGCAATCATTCTTACGAAGCAATTAAGGAATTCTTTATTTCCCAATATTTCTTCTTACCTTAATAGGCGGATGCTTTGTAGAAAAGAACATTGTTCAAACATAAATTTAACACCGTAAAAAAGTATGTGGAAAAACTTACTGACGTTTCGGATGTTAATCCTTCGTCGGAGTAAAGAACACTCCGACGAAGGATTAACATCCGAAACGTCAGTAAGTTTTTCCACCCTCTTTACTCCGACGAAGGATTAACATCCGAAACGTCAGTAAGTTTTTCCACATACTTTTTTACGGTGTTAAATTTATCTTTTTACATAGCTGTTTTTTAGAAACACCGACGCAGCTCACACTAGTTTACCGCTAGTTCCCACCATTATATAGATGCGTTTTTTCCCTACCTTGAAAGAAGTAAATGCATGTGAAAAATGTTCTGTTCTACACAATATGTGGTGGATGTAAAGCAGTGTCACACGCTATTATACCATGCATTCAGAATAGATAGTACTTTTGCATAAAGGTGTAACTTTGAGGCAATGCGTTTTCCTACATATTTACCGCATGTAATGTGATTGTCTTACTATAGGAAAACCTCGAGTCCGAGTCCGAGTCAGAAAACGACGACGAAGAAGACGAAGAACCTGAATACGAACAAGAACCACACCAGCTAAACACGACGGAGAATAAACTAAAATCATCTGCTGCCAGTTTCCTTCTAAGGTAAATAAAAGCATATAAGTGACTCATGTTATCAATTTGCATGACGCCGTGTTGGAATAATACCTAAAAATAGTGCGCATTTTCTTGTTTGTTTATGAATTTGCATGTTTAAAATGTTCCAGTTCTGAGATGTTATTTTAGCTTCCTTAAACTGATCGAAAGCATATATTCCATTATTCAGCAAACACTCGCAATTGTAATGCAAACACTATTTGTCCAAAGAAGACAACAAAATGTATGCTTGATTGAAGGTAACCAAAAGCCTTCACAATAGAGATTTCGAAACTGGATGAGTGTTGCAGAGTTGTTATTGTGATTTGTTTTCTTTTGAACAACAGCTTTTAAAGTAAATATCGTATTACAACATATTAAAAGAACACGAAATTACATAATTGCCATATCATGTTTTGTTATCAGTAGGGTGTGGGTACCGGGATAATAGTCCACTTCGCGGATAACACAGCTATTAGAAATTGAGAAAATATCGAAAAACTATTACCACCACTGGAAAGAACAGTATAAAATTAGTATGTTTACCAGGCTTGAGCATGATTCGATAAAAATTCAAGGAGCTGCGTTTAAAAACCTTTGCCAGGAACAAAATTATTTGAAAGAAGCAAGGTCACCACATTTACTTGTCATCTCCTCCTGAAAGTTTTTGTCTTTACACTTAGATCGAGACGGTGGTTAGTCTTTAGTGAATTTTAATTTGGGTTGCTACAGTTGACTCGACTCGCTTGTGCTTGTTTTATAACTAACGTTAATAGTTGGGTGTGGGGGGGGGGGGGAGGGTTAGACGTGATTTCTAATATATATAGCAGAAATGCAAAAATGCACAAAAAGAAAGTGAAGATGAAAAACATTTTCTTCTCAGATGTTCCCTTTTCTCCACAAAGAGAAAAGAAATATTTGAAAAGATAAATATTATTACAAAGAAAAATATCGAGTTTCTTACTGAAGACGAAAAGTTTCACTATATGATAAATCCAATTTCAAATAAATTGTTACAAAAAATAATTGCAAAACACATTTATGAATGCTTTGAAATAAGAAAAAAGGTTACTGGAACATTTCATTAATAATATATACAATCATAAAATATG